GTAGTAAGGTTGAGATCAGCAATAGCAGCCTTGAAGGTTGATCTCCAGGCCCTGTAGCTCTCTGGACAGTCATCAAACCTTGAGAGGCTAGTGTTAATGAGCTCACGGCGTGCCATATATCTGGCGAAGTCATTCAAGTCTGATCTCTCACTCTTTGGTGCCAAAGTAACTTGTGGAACCCCTTGGGTGTGAAAGTTCTCTGGTGAAGAAGGGTGAGGTTTACCAGGATAAAATGATGTTGCTTGAGCGTTTAACTTTGGTGTAGTCTCTAAGGTATTTTCCCCTAGTGTACGCCCCTTCCTTCTTCCTGTGTGCAGTACTTCCTGTGTCATGGCCACAGCTACAGGCCACATGTAACAAGGACGCACATGTAATCTGCACAGTACGTAGGAAAGGCATCATTTTCTGACCGCACACTACTATAACCAATCATCTGCTGTTCCTATCATCTGCTGTAATCCTGATGTTAAGAATAAACACCTCTTTTGAATGAATCGGTATTGATGAGTTCAGCTATCCTGACAAGGATTGTCCACAGTGGATTGTCCACAAGGATTGTCCACAGTGAGTATATCTGCTTATACAGGCCAGGCATAGAGGTCTCAGCAAGGGATATATTTCGCTATCACAACGATCGGAGTCAGAATACTTACCTTAAGTGATGCCTCTTGATTATGGATGAGCCGAGTGTTCGATTCGAACATGAGCTCGCCGAACGCAGAACTTTATGGGATGTTCGCGGTTTGTTTGACCGCGGACATTCCATAATACAAAATGCACACTGAAGCTCTGATTTGTTAAAGTCTTGCACCTGACCACAGGTGCAAGACTTTGCCCAATCAGGGCTCAGCAGAGGAGGGGCCTGAAGGAGAAAGTTCTCTATCAGGTTCCCCATGCTGACTGACAGCAGGCAGTGGGCGGGTGCAATAGTCAGCTTGCTATTGGCTATTGCATTTTACAATATCCAATAGCAGACTGGGTATGGCTCCCAGCCTGCAATGAAGAGGAGGCAGGGGGGCGGGGGAGAGGAGCGGCCGGACCGGATCGGAGAAGAAGCCGACGGACCAGGGGACTGGAGGCCGGGACAGCAGCGGAGGTACGGGGGGCAGCGAAGGCATGCAGCGGTCTGTGTCCCCGCTGTCTCTGCCAACACAGGCGGCTGCCGGTACATTTAGGAGAACTGTGGACCTGGTTCGTAAGTACGGATTGTCCGTAACCCGGGGACTGCCTATATAAGCCTTCTTAAAGTGGACATTCATTTTAGAACGTTCGACCCCCATTCACTTGCATTGCGTTCGAGTTCGTATTCAAACTTTTCGGCCGTTCGAATGTTCGAATACGAACCGAACACGGGGGTGTTCAGCTCATCACTACTCTTGCTCCGATCATCTTCTTCTTTCCAGTATTCTTCAGCAGTCCCTCCAGCGCTGGTGCGGGTCTCTGATCCAGCGCTGACTGATGTGTCCCACGGAGTCTGTGCACGTGCATGCTGCCGGACTGCATTGACTTACCCTGTGTCTCTCCTCTTCTCCCGGCCAAAGATCTGTACTGCGCATGCGCACGCCCTATGATCCTTCAGCACAGCAGTTGTTTTTTTAAAGTTTTACCTGTTGATCCTGCCAGTAGATTTTTTACTTTCAACTTCCTTTACCAGGCCAAGCTGTCCAGCAAAAGTGACAGTTACAGGATTTATATATATTCCACAATAGCCACAGTTTTTCCCTGAGCTTTAAAGTCCATTAAAAATGTCACTGTCTGAGGCTGCCATGATGACAAGGAGATAACACTGTCCTGTGATTTCACTGCAGAATGAACTGCATTGTCGCTCTATTGAAGGAAGTGGAATAATATGCAGATCTACCCCGCAGGATCAATAAGAACAACAAACAAAGCCAGAAAAACAAACACTACTGTGCTGTGTGTGCATGCTAGTTAATGTCTAAGGAGGAGCAGCTATGTAACCCATTCCTGGATCTTCGTTCTTCTGCAGAGCTATGGCCTTTGGCAAATTATTCACATCTGACTCAATTCCAGAAGTGTCAGATTCATTGTGCCTGGTTAAACGTTGTGGCTCCATCTGCCGGCCCCTACATCATTACATGACACAGAGGTCATGTAGAGGCTGGTAGAAGGAACCACAATACACAGCGAGAGGCTCAGATATTTGACACACCCTGATGTGAAGATTCTGCCATAAACCATAGCTCTGCAAAGATCCGAAGAATGGGCAGCAGAAGTATTAATGCTCATCCCTTGCCGGTTTTTTTTCGTTAGCGGTGACAGAGTGACTTTAAGTTTTTATTGCTGTGACCCAGTTGGGAAGATTTTCTCTCACTTCCTGTTTGAAAGATACAGCAGTGAGTGAAAATCTCCCTAAAGTGAGGGAAAATCCTATCTATGCCACCAGTGGTGACTGTGGAAGGCGTCTTCAATGGATGATATCCCTGCTCTGGTTGAACTCATCCTAAACAGTTCTGCTCTTCAATTTCAATCCCGGAACCAATAATCAACACAAAAAAAAAGTGTGGTTGTATCTCCCACATGATCAGTATTTATATTAGAGACTTCAAGGCAGGTGGCATTTTCAAAATGAGGTCAGTAAATGCAGCTCTTATATATTTCTTTGAGGGCTAGTTCATGCTGAATGCCTTTTCATTCATTTTAGTACATTATCCAGTCTAGCCAAAAATGCATGGACATGAAAAAATCTTTTCAATAGGACTTGTGTGACCATGCGTTGGAAATATGTTCTCCATGTGGAATTTTGGTTTTCTGACCAGTTTTGTCATTCAAGTAATTTCAATTTGATTCCAGAAATTATCACAGTAATCCAACATACGTGAAGGCACTCTTTCTAGTATGAACTTCGAAAAGATAACAAAGGGCAGCAATAATGACCACAAAGTTTACGTGATTAGGTTTGCAAAGGGTTAGGTATAGCTGACAACTGCCCCTAATTTGGAACCAAATCCCTCTGTCCCTCTTTCCTCCTCAGTTACCCCTCTTGAAGGTCTAATGTACAGATATCTGTATAAAAATACAATTTAACTACTCAAAGGTTTATTCTTCACTAAATCGCTTATCTTACCTCTTAATTATCTTGTTTGCTATTTTAAAAAGCCAGGCTAGAGCAAGGGTAATGAGGAAAAGAATAATTCTGTGTTTAACCAATCTATTTTGGCATATACAGTAAATTACTTATGGTCTGCATAACTGGGGGCGTGGCAGAGGGTGTGTCCATTTCCTAATTTTTATATATTAAATACATTTTAACAGTGGATTAGCAAATGGTGTGATGGGTTGGATGCTGAGCTGTTTGGTAAACAAGGGGCTGGCCAGGTGGGGCTCTAGTAATTGTAGGTGGATTGTAAAAGCAAGCTGCAATGGGTGAATTCCCAGCCTCCTTCTCCTGTATAGCTCATAATATATTGGGCTTGATTGGTGTTTGGATCATTTCTTGTCATGGCAGCTTGGTCGTCGGGACTTTGAAGGTGGACCTTTTGGTAAGGAAAGTTTAAGTAGGAACCCATCCTTGGTATGTCCCTTGTTTTGTGAGGTCTAGTAGCAGGCACCTTGGTGTAATTGTGCCACAGGTGCCTGCAGATAACTGAAAAGTGGTTTGTTGATGGTAATAGGAGCTCCCTGTAATGTGTTTATTGGTACATCAACTAATTATTTTGGAAAATATTAACATTTCCTGTCATGGTGATATGCTATGCATGGGGCATGCCCCACTATCCTGGTCATTTTATATGTTTCCCTTGGTAATATCTGATGTCTGTACTTCTGTACTAAACACTCTTTATGCAATAAAAATTAAAGTTAGAAGAAAAATAATGAATTTGATACCTAGAAAAATGCTTTGTTAGCCCTGTTCTTTACTATTCCTCTTCATCCTGTTTAGATGGTACTTTAAATTCCCTAATTTATATCTACCTTTATGGCTCTACAGGTCGAAATGAAAGATGGATTTGTTAAATTAATTCGGCTTTGGAATCCTTGGGGTCAGGGAGAATGGCGAGGAGCCTGGAATGATAAGTAAGTGTAACCTATAGAAAAATATGATTTGTGGGAAAACAGAGGTGCCACTGGTGGGTCTCTCAAGAGGGCATTTTCATTAAAGCCATATCACCATTTGTTCTACTAAACTCAATAATAAAGAGCTCACAAGCTTATGGAGCTTCCAAGCTCTATAATTGTCTTCCCAAGTCATAATCCCATAAGGTTCAGTTCACAAAGTCAGAATCCACACTGCATAGGGAAGAACTGAGCTCTGTAGCTTTGTAATTCATTAAAGAATCCATTGGACATGTTCCCACTTTGTTTGATCTACCACCCTCAGGGTGAGCTCTCATCATTGTGTTCTTTTAATTTGTAAGTTTAACTTACTAACAAACATGAAAGTACTTTTCGGGGTTGAGGAGAGGGTGGCATAGTGAAAGGTGGGATACTGGCACCACTTATTACAGAGGAACTGATTAGAACAGGTTTTTAGCAAGCCTAGTTGATTGACTCACCAGGCATTCTGAGGCCACCTACAAACCACCATTGCTGTAAGGCAGAAGTGCTAACCCCTAAACCACTTAAAGTTCAGTTCCACTTTAAACATAGTGATAGAAAATGGTGCCCAAGACCCATGCAAGACTGACACTCAATTCCAGAAGGAAAGAACTGAAAATTGGACAAGCAGCAACCTACCCCTGCCTATTAACCCTTAACACTATCACAAGCTGGCGTCCATGTGTTGTCCTTTAGACAGTTCCTGACTACTGACCCTGATGTGGGACGCAGTTGGCTCATGTAAGTGCCTAGACAGCCAGTATAACAATCACACTTCAGATTATTTTATCTTCTTTCCTTTTCAGAAGTCCCACCTGGACGGAACTGAGAGAGGAAGATAGGCAGAGGCTGCGGAGGGTCAGGGATGATGGTGAATTCTGGTATCTATTCTATCAATGCTATTTTGATATATAAGCCATTTGACGAGTGTGCTTGTGCTTTTTGCCCCCCCCTTCCACATTAACACAAGTACCTCCACTTCCTGCTTCCCACATGCATAATTACCTCTATATGGCATCCATGGCCTTCTGCAATCCTTTATGGTGAATCTTCTGTGCATTGATCGTACCTTTGCAGTAGATCCCAATAGAGTTGGCACAGTCTCATGAGGCTGGAGAAATCTAATAAAGTTAAATCTTAGACAACTACCCCCACCACCGCCTTATGCCTCTAGAGTATAACAATTTCCTGCAAAATCACTTTGCAATCATTGCTTACATATTTCAAAAACACATGGATTAAGCCTCTCAATACCCCAAGGCAAAAGCTGATATTGCATCAATCCATGCCGTAAGCTCCATGTTAGAACTGGATCATGTTTTAGTAAAGAAGCTGATTTGTATTTCTTCAGGATGTCTTGGGAAGATTTTTCTTTGGAGTTTTCCATAATTATTCTCTGCAATCACACCCCTGACTTCCTAGACTGGGGAGGACAGCACAGGAGATGGTACAAGAAAATGTTCTGGAACCGCTGGACCAAAGACGGTAACACTATTATTGACAGCAATGGTAGCAAAGAACTATTGTGGTGAGGAAACAGAAGGTAGAGTAACAGATGGATAGATAGATGATAGATAGATAGATAGATAGATAGATAGATAGATAGATAGATAGATAGATAGATAGATAGATAGATAGATAGATTCAAATTGCACTGGTTGTATAGCTATATTTGCTGTTGTTCATACAGGAATTCCTGTCTTAGTTACGTGTCACCTGAATAGGTGTCCCAACTGGAAGATTTTCTTTCTCTTCTTTTTCTGGTGACAACTCTAAAGCCGGATATACACACTTCGAAATTTGAAGCGTGGGTGCCACTGATGTCACCTTTCTGACCGGCATCCCTTGATCAGCTGATCGGAGGAGCATGTTGCAAAATCCTCGGCCTAACAGAGCAAGCAGCCAATAAGCTGCTTGCTCTGTTCAAGTATTGTGACAGCCGTCGGTAGCCGGTGTCAGAATACAATTGTCACGGTACTAGGGATGTGAGCCCACAGGCGAGCAGGTGACACGGAATCCTCCAGGATGGGGAATCTAAGGGCCAGCTGGTGTTCTGCCAGGGACCCCCTCACGGAGATTTGGACTTAACTGCATGCTGACCCCAGGTCACGACCCCCAGGTTCACCCTGCTTGTGTGGAGAGTATCCGAAGACACAGGACAGTGCAGGCATGGATGAATGGAGCAAAAGGAGATCCAGATAACGAGCCAAGGTCAGGACAAGCAGCAGAGAAACGTAATCAGGAGAATTAGCCGAGTCGGTGCACAAGAAATCAGTCCACAGAAAGTCAGGTTAGGAATAATTGCATGGAGGGCTTAGGAACAAGTGTTGCTCAAGTAACCAGAAACTGGTCTGAGAGAGATTTAAATAGGGAAACACATGGGAGACTGCACAGGAAGTAGCAGGAAGGAACCAGGTGAAGCGAGCAATATCTATAGCTGCTAAGTCAGTGCAGCAAGAGCAGAGCACAAGCTTGTGGAACCGCAGGTGCCAGCATACCTACAGCAGCAAAAGGTAAAAAAACTAATGCAAAGCAGTGAATCACAGATCATCTCTGCAGCTGCTCTGTGACAACATTGTAAACAGCAGGATATTCCTTGATCAGTGCTCGCAAGAGTTAACAGAAGAATCTGGTCTGTTTTCTTCATGTTGAGCAAAGAAAATAGAAAAGTGTATACCCGATCTAACATTTAGTATTTCTTACCACTTCCTGTGCCGGTGACAATGTTAAAGAAAGAGGGTTGAATCTTCTTAGCGGGGACAGGGGCAGCAATATAAGCTTCACAGGGGGCTCTAAATCTTTCTCACTCTATCCAAAACTCATTAAAAACAAGGCTCAAGATACACTTTCATATCGTAATTTTTTTCATTTCAGAGCTGTTCAGCAGGAACCCTCAGTACATGATAACCGTGACGTCTTCTGATGAGGTGAACAAAGGGTACAATGCGGTCATATTGCTCATGCAAAGCAGCAGGAATCGGCAAAAATTTGAAGGTCAATGGCTCCCAATTGGATTTAAGCTCTTTAAGGTAGGTACATATCCATTCCATCACCCAGGGTGCTTTATCTTTGTAAGCTGTGCAGGGCTGCTGTAGGATGAAGGGGCAATACTTCATCCAAAGTTTGCATTTAGGTCAACTTTAAACATGACACTTTTAATTAAAGTACACTAAAACCTTCATCAGTGGAAGAACCATCTACCTTTTGCCCCTCCCTCATCCTCCTCCCTCAAGGCACAATGCCTATTGCTAAACCACAGCTTCTATTTAGCTAATCTCTGTGAAGTCTTTAGACAAATGAAGCTACTCAGCCCTCGCAGAACAATAGGGCAGCTGTGACAGGGGATACATAACGCTGATTAAACAATCTGCTTACTGACGCAGCAATCAGCCAGGAAATACAATATAGTTTCGTGTTGTGGCTAAATGTTGAATTGATTATATCGACTGGTTCTCATTGCTCAAAGCTCTTAAATGTATTGCCGGGCATTCCGCTGTGATTTGTTTTCCGCTGCTGCTAATGTGTTTACAGACTCAAGCAGCGGAACCACTGCAGCATTCAAATTATCATCAACATGTGGCCTTGAGTTATCATTACAACAAATCAGTGTCTAATATTGTCACAGCGTTTATTTATTAGAACTGGCAGAAAGGAAGAGTGTGTTTACTGTTGGCAGTTAGCCTTAATGTTACTTGAGAATATATTTGGGAGAGGGTTTATATTCCACCCTAAGGGCAGTAAAAGACAGACATTTCCGCAAAGTATGGAGGGTGATATCTACCCTTCCTTGAACAAATGATCCTGGGTCCCAATGTGATAATCATCTGGTAGGTACAGTAATATGGTGTGTTCTTAGGCCCTAGAAACTCATCCAGTTGCCCCAGGTCTTCAACCAACTGCCCGGGGTCTCAGTGACCAAACGTTCAGGATGCCTATGACACCTTTTAGAGCTTGTTTGACATCCCATTTCAAAAGCATGGCAGTACCATGAAGCTTTTTGTAGCTTTATCAGTATCCCATTCTCTGGAAAGGATTTGGGAGTATGCATGTGGAATATTTTGCCCAATTATCTAAAAGAGCATTTGCAAAGTCAGATATTCATGTGGGACAAGAAGACCTGGCTCACTAATGGGTTTCCAAATCATTCTAAAGGTTTTCAGTAAGATATATAGACTCAGGGCTTTGTGTGGGCCACTCAGCTCCTCCACACCACACTCATCAAACTCATGTCTTTATGGAGCTGGCATTGTGCAGAGAGGTGAGATCATTTTGGAATAGAGAAGGGTCTTCCCCAAACTAATTCTAGATGGTTGGTAGTGCACAATTGTCCAAATTGTCATTGCATGCTGTAGCTTTAACAGCACTCGTAACTGGAAACACCTAAATTCAATCATTAGGATGGGTTTCCAGATACTTTTTCCAATATAGTAGTAGTGATGGTTAGATGTTCACAAACCTTTGACCATATAGTGTATATTCTACAAAACATTGGAGAGTAAACAGCAAACTGTACATCCTTGTGTGCTGCTCAGCCTTTAGTGTTGGGTATAAGCTGTATTAGAAGTTTCCTGTCTGATACTATAGGTTAAGCAGAATGTATTAGACAGACTGTAGTGCTATCTAGGGGCCAGCAATACAGAATAGAAGGGGCAATGCGTTAAAAGAGGAGGAGATCACATAAGAACGTGTGTTGTTTAGTGTGGTGCTCCGCCTTAGGTGGGGTCCATCTTTTAGGTCCCTAGCAGCTCAACTACAGCTACAAGAAGAGTGAGCAAGTAGACCACCTGAGGAGGGATTTCAAGTTTTTAACATTGCTTTTACTGGCTAGTCATCTGCATGATATCATCTTTTTTCTTCTCTCTGTCTCTCTAGGTGGATTCCCAGGTATGAAGAAAGTTCAGCAAATAGCCAGCTGAGAGAAATAACAGCCATCGGCAGGGATTGTCTGTGAAAGTTCTTATTTATCCTGGACATGGTATAGCTAGTAGTAGTTAGTCACATTCAATTGGGCTTCTGCTAAAATGTTTAAGGTGTTTTACTACTCATCCAAGTAGCTTTTTTAATTCAAATGAATCCATTTCACGTGAATAAATGTGAGATTGTAGTCCATGTGAGCATGGAGTGGTGGCTACTTTACAACACACACAGGGACCATGGGGAACAAAATTAGCCACCCTCCAGAAGGAAGGACAGTGTCAGCACCAATTCAGAGATGATTTGAGGATCTACAGCCGAGTGATACATTAATAAGATACATTTTTGGTAATATTTAGATCATATTAATTTGTGTTTATTTCTGGTAAAGATTGTTTTCTCTCTTCTCATTTGTCAGTTCCAGGACACACGTGAGCCTCTGCCAGCTTCCTTCTTCAATCGGGAGAGGCTAACAAAGTTGGAGGTTTGCAGACAGCGTGACACTACAATGTCCTATGGGCTGGCAGCGGGGAAATATGTAGTTGTCCCGTACACAATGGAGAAAGAAAAGGAGGCTTCATTTCTGCTGCAGATATTCCTGAAGAGCAAAGACTGTGCAATGTAAATATCAAAAAAGTTAAAGCCAAACTGCAGCCATTTTTTTCAGCTTTAGGTCAAGTGGAGAAGAATTAAAGTGACATTAAACCCTCAGATTTTTTAACATAAACCAATACTGTGATGTGTGACTTAATGTAATCCATGGTTGTTTCCCTTCTCTTTGCTGCTCTTCCTTTTAAATCCTCATGTCTTCTCATGTTTGGGGAGAACTTCCCTTTGCAGCTGAGTGCCTCTTCCTGTAGTGCTGGCTCAGGTTGCAAACCTACACACAGACACCATGTATCCATTCCAGAGACAAGGCAGTCTGCTGCAAAACAGAAGTTCTGCCCAGCATGAGAACAGATATAGATTTAAAAGGAAGAGCAGCAAAGAGAAGGGAAACAACCATGGATTACAGTAAGGCGCACATTACACTATTGGTTTATGTTAAAAAATCTGAGCGTTTAATGTCAATTTAACATTTTATTTATGTCTATGAGCCCATAGGGGGGATTTTTTCTCATCTCCTGTCCCAGTGACACTTGTACAGAAAATGGGATGAGCATTTGTGGTCAGAACAGTAAGGAACGACGGTGATAAACACATTGTCAGAAGTGCTAACCATTCCCTTTCTCAGCCTACCAAAAATGTGTCATTATCTGAGCCCCCATTGGAGAAATATCCTATAATGCAAAAAAACAAACAAACAACAACAGTTTTAACGAGAGAGACACTTTAATATTTAAAGGGTTAGTTCACTTTTGTTGGATAAAAACAAATCTACAGCAACATATTCATAGTCATTTTGCTGAGAAAATTATTTACCTCTCGGTCCAGACACACTGCTTCCAGAGCTGATTCAAAAATCTTCACCCGGGGCTGTTTTTCTGTCTGTGTACACGTGATGTTGCACTGTAGTTAATTCCTGGAGATGAAACTACATATGCCAGAGTTCCTGTAATCACATGGGTAGACAGAAAGAGTATTGTGTGTGCTCACATGTGAAGTGGGCAGGGGGCACTTTGCACACTGGAAGTCAATCGCTCAGACATGCAACTTCCTTGTGGATTATATCAAAGACAGCAGCAATTACGCAGACTGCAAGTTTTATAACCGGGCATTACGTAAGCCACTGGTGGTAGGCAATTTAAAGGACAATAATTCTCTATTCTACACATTGATTGCTAACCTACTGGGGCCTCTTGACTGCACTGAAATGTTTGCTATAAAGGTGAACTAATCCTTTAACTAACCTCCTGAAATCTACTTATACCTGTAAAGTATATAATAAAAGCCAACATTTGTTTTTGTTTGGGTGGAGTTGGGAAATATTAAAACCCCTATCATGTTTTGTTTTTATTTTACTGTAGTCCCATTAAGGACATTTTCGTTCACTTCCTATTCTAGAGATGAAGTGAGAGGTTAACCCTTGAAAGTGAGGGGATATCCCCTCTTAGACAGTTGTCACCCTAATAGGTTTCTCCATTTTAAGATCTTAGACAGTTGTTACACTAATTGGTGTCCCCACTGGAAGATATTAGACAAATGTCACCGTAATAGTTTTCCCCATCGGAAGATCTTAGTTGTCATCATAATAGGGTTCCCCTCTGGAAAAGCTTAGACAATAACTACCAGCTACCACCACAATAGGTGTCCCCATTGTAAGATCTTAGACAGTTGTTACCCTAATGGGTGTCCCCCATTGGACGATCTTAGACAGTTGTTACCCTAATGGGTGTCCCCATTGGAAGATCTTAGACTGCTGTTACCCTGAAGAGTGTCCCCACTGGAAGATCTTAGACAATATATAGAAGTTTTTCCCGTCAGAAGATCTTAAACAGTTGTCACCATAATAGGGTTCCTATTGGAAGATCTTAGACAGTTATTGCCATAATAGGTGTTCACATTGCATGATTTTAGCCAGTTATCACCAAAATAGGGTTCCCCCTTGAAGATCCTAGACTGCTGTTACCATAATAGATGTCCCCTTTGGAAGCTCTTAGACAGTTGTCACCAAAATAGGTGTCCCCATGGGAAGATCTTAGACAGTTGTCCCAATAATGTGGTTCCCGACTGAAGGATCTCAGACAGTTGTTACCATAATAGTTTTCCCCATTGAAAGATCTTACACAGTCGTCACCCTAAGTGTCCCTGTTGGAAGATTTTCTCTCTATTCCTGTCCTGATGACAAAAGTAACATTTTGGTTTTCCTATCCCTGTTTGTTCTGACCATTGTCAATGACACAAATGAAGAGGGTGAATTTCCCCAGCTGGCACAAGGACAGTAATTATTACCTCTCAGTAGGGATGCACCGATACCAGTGCCGATACTTGGCATTTTCATGAGAACTACCAGAGTTGCAGCGGTTGCAGCTGGGACCTGGCTCTGGCGCTCCACTCAGAGGTTCTATGCATTCCAAACCTCTTCAAAAACTAAAAAAAAAAGTTTTGGCTTTAGATATGTTTTGGACCTGCTCACAAATTTGGATCGGATTAAAGGTTCCGTACTTATATCTGCCGCCTGGCCTGATTATATAGAGTGTACACTCAGAGAAGAAAGGAACGCTGAGATAAGTTGTTCAGTGTATAAGATACTTCTCCTTTTTTATTCTTCCGCTTAACAGTCTTTTATAGGCAGCTGCACATGTATGTTTTGTATGTTTAATTGTAGCATTGCAAAAAGCATTCTAGCTTATAATTAGTTAGATCCATTCATGCATAACTTCCTTCCAGGATATTTATCACTTTCGTCTTGGGTGTTGTCCTGAAGAGGAGGCGCCATCTTGGTTCCTATTTCTAGTGCGTACTTCGGATATGAGGGGGAGGGGGTGCATGAGCACCAGTTTCTGAGTAAGGTTTTGAGCAAGGTAAACAAGAGCAAACGAGAGCGAAAAGCAAAATAACATATATATTACAATTGATCTATTGAGATAGGCATTTTGTCATAATCATACTTAACCACTTCCATTAAAGATATACTTTCAAACTAAACCCATAATCCCTGACCGCAACACTAACCAGGCATCCCCTCTGATCTAATCCCTCACGCTACTTTGACCTCTTCTTCAGTATAGTTCTCCAGCACATTAGTTCCACTGAATCCTCAGGGGTCCTCTGCTGAAGACTACCTTTAACAATGCTGAGAACTGCTGATCCATGCCTAGGCATAGACTTGCCCCTACCCCCATGTGGCAATGCTTATCTGTAGCCATAGTACAGGCAGGCACCATGCACTGTAGAGTGAATATTGAAGGTGGGGTGCCTATACCTTGGGTATTGTTAAAAAAGAGTAATTGCTGCTAAAAAGGTCTAGCTCTCTTTGCAAAGGCATGAACTTCCACCTTATACTACCCATGTTTGCCTCACAACCATAGTTGATATTGTTTTGTTACATTCCAAGTTTGTTTTAACAAAAAATAGTTCATGATCCGTTTAATGTTGCAACATTCTACCAGCTGTTTGTTTTTGTTATTTTTAAAAAATACTTTTTCAATCTTCTCATTTCAGTGAACTGAGCCCGGTGGAAAAAATGAAGGTATGTATGACTGATCTCATTACTGTGTAATTGTAATACCCTGCTGGCATTTACCTTCATAAGTAAAAGATTGCAATTATATTTTATTTGAGACTCTCCAAGAATGATAAATAATTCATTATCGGCAAACATTCTCCAGCACCATCAAAGAGAACCGCTGAAGTAATTCTTAACAAATGAGGGAAGGGGGGAAACCGTGGAAGATTTCAGTAAAACACACTCCAAGTGAGTGAGAGGTTACAGGACGGTTCTACTGTGAATTTTTTTAGAACTTCACAGAGAACGAGCTCGTATACACAGCTTAACGCTCATTAATTTTGGCTGTGAACTCCCAATGTACAGCTAGGGATGGGTGGGAAATTTTGGCAAATTTGATTTACTGCTCAATTGGCCAAAGTGTTTGTCTTAAAATTTACTTTGAACCTTTATTAAACAGTTACTTTAATACTGGACTTAGATCCGTGCGCCGGTTTTTTATGTTTCCTTCACAGTGCTGTTACATGGATGTTTCCCTATCCAACTAACCGGGCTGCAGGATCAGTGCACACATTGTCTCTGGATTAACCACCAGTATAACTGGAGCTCCTTTAAGACTATTAATATACAGTCCAGAAACAATCGATCTAGTTGCACAAGTTGATGACCGTCTGTCTGTTTTATGTTAAAATAAACATAAGTCACTTATTAAAAAAGAACTCCAGGAATTTTGTTTTATTAACCCTTGCAGTGGGGCTAACATCGCACTGCATGGGTTAAGTAGTCATTTGTGTCTAGGTGCTAAAATAGCAAAGATCACCCAAAGCTCAGAGCCAACCAGCTGTCACAGCGCTCCTTCCAGCCTGCCCTCTCCTCTGCAGTACATTGGAATGTTCCTCAGCGTCCTCATGTCTATGCACAGTGTATAGACATGATGATTAGACATGTGCACCGGCAGAAAATTTGCTTTGTTTTGATTCAGATTTTGTGTTATTTTGTTTTTCGGGATACGGGCCCGAAAGTCAATTCGTTTCGGGATTCAGACGAAATTCGTTAGTGGTAGTCTGTACGAAGTTTCGTTTCCGTTTCGTTGCAAAGTGGCATTAAGAAAACATTTTTTTTCGTTTAAATGTCACATTGCTGCACCGAAAATTTGTCCACAAACGAAAATTCGTACAGACTACCGCTGTCCGAAATTTTGTTTTCGGAAATTCTGATTCGTTTTCATTTGTCATTTCTGTTATTCGGAAATTCGGATACATGCAAATCTCCGAATAACGAAAATGCGTCCGAAAAAAAACACTTTTCAGAAACGAATCGCACATGTCTAATGATGATTTACTGGACCTTAGACCGCTGCAGAGGAAGGTGGAGAGACATTCCGGGGCTGAAGAGGAGGGGGAGAGACATTCTGAGGACCGGTCTAAGAAGAAGCCGGCTGCAGAGGAGGGGGAGAGACATTCCGGGGGACCGGTCTAAGAAGAAGCCGGCTGCAGAGGAGGGGGGAGAGACATTCCAGGGAACCGGTCTAAGGAGAAGTCGGCTGCAGAGGAGAGGGGAGAGACATTCCGGGGAACTGGTCTAAGAAGAAGCCGGCTGCAGAGGAGAGGGGAGAGACATTCCGGGGAACCGGTCTAAGAAGAATCCGGCTGCAGAGAAGAAGGAGAGACTTTGCGGGGGACCGGTCTAAGAAGAAGCCGGCTGCAGAGGAGGAGAAGAGACATTCCGGGGGACCGGTCTAAGAAGAAGCCGGCTGCAGAGGAGGGGGGAGAGACATTCCAGGGAACCGGTCTAAGAAGAAGTCGGCTGCAGAGGAGAGGGGAGAGACATTCCGGTGAACTGGTCTAAGAAGAAGCCGGCTGCAGAGGAGAGGGGAGAGACATTCCGGGGAACCGGTCTAAGAAGAATCCGGCTGCAGAGGAGAGGGGAGAGACATTCCGGGGACTGGTCTAAGAAGAAGCCGGCTGCAGAGGAGGAGGAGAGACATTCCGGGGACCGGTCTAAGAAGAAGCTGGCTGCAGAGGAGGAGGAGAGACATTCCGGGGACCGGTCTAAGAAGAAGCCGGCTTCAGAGGAGAGGGGAGAGACATTCTGGGGACCGGTCTAAGAAGAAGCCGGCTGCAGAGGAGAGGGGAGAGACATTCCGGGGACCGGTCTAAGAAGAAGCCGGCTGCAGAGGAGAGGGGAGAGACATTCCGGGGACCGGTCTAAGAAGAAGCCGGCTGCAGAGGAGGAGGAGAGACATTCCGGGGGACCGGTCTAAGAAGAAGCCGTCTGCAGAGGAGGGGGAGAGACATTCCAGGGATCGGTCTAAGTCTAAGAAGAAGTCGGCTCGGAGCTGTGGATAAGTATATCTTTGTTTTTTTTTTTTAACCTAGACACAAACGAGCAGTTCACCCTTGCAGTGTGGGAGTAGCCCCACAGCAAGGGTTAATACAAAAAACATTCCTGGAGTTCTGCTATAAGCTAAGAACAGGAAACATGAAGTACAAAAATTATTAAAACAAGTTAATTTATAAAAAATATAAAAAATGTATTCTTGTGTGTTAAAAACATCAAACAATAAAACAATAAGGAAATAAATATATACTAGGGGCTCTATTTATAAAATGATGTATTTATTATAATGTATATGTACATTTGCTCTGCACAAATTACCCAGCATTCGTTCATTCGTTTTAGGGATTTATTTGCACAATGCTGAGGCTTTTTGATGAATGGGACAAAATTGAATGTTCTTAAAGCCCAGTTCCACCTTTGCGGAAGTATTTAAAAAAAACATATGCCAGCAATGTACACCGAGTACACATGAAGCAGGCATATGCAGTTGATGTTTATGAACGCAGAAACTTGCTTTATTTTGTCTCTTCATGGCTCATTTTAAATGGCCGCCTCTGTGGTTTGCAGGCAGTGTGTGTAACTGAACACTCTCTTTCTGAGCTCTCTCCCCCTATTAGTATTTATAGTAGCAACCTCCCCACAGACAGTGTATTTTGACCTGTAAAGGCAGAGCTGGTGTGCAGTGATATTTTTACAATGACTCACAGGGAGGGGGGTCAGCTGTTTTACAATCCAACCCCAGTGTCAGACTGAGTTTCCTATCTAGAAAAATTTCAATTTGTGGGACTCAGGCCCACTAAAAAGTCCATTAAAAAAAATGAAGTAAGCCATCAATGTGAGCCATGAAAATGTGCGCACAAATCATCACTGCACCTCTTGGTTACCACAATCCACGCTAATCACTTACAAAGGTGGACATTGGCTTGAAGGTATTTTCTCTTGTGGTGGAATGTTCTTAAGCGTTTGTTTTAGGCTATTTTCTCAAATGTTCTTGAGCATTAGGGAATGGACATTCACCCTGCAAAAGACACCTTAAAGTGATAATAAAGTCAAAATGTTTTAAAGCTATTTCAACTGTGGATTAAATCACTTACAATGGATCCTGTTTCTTAATGTTTAAAAGTTTTTTAGTTTCCGGCAGAATCAGCTGGTCCCCTGAGAACTGGTCCTTATATCTTGTTTTAGGGTGACTCCTTTCATAACAAGGACTTGGTGGCCTCTAGTCCTTGTTATGGAGTTTACTGTAAAAAGTTAATTGCTGATGTTGCTATCACCACTAAAAATCTTGTACATCAAAATCATGTCCCCTCTTAATCTCCTCACTTCCAGCGTGAACATGTTTAAATTTAGTAACCTTGTCTCATAACTTTGGTCCTCCAGCCCCTTAATTAGTTTTGTTGCCCTTCTTTGGGCTCTCTCTAGCTCAGCTCAAGGACATCCTTCCTGTGTATTGGTGACCAAAAATAGACTGCATAGTCCAGATGAGGCCAAACTAGCAATCTATAAAGTGGCAAAATGATTGCTTTGTCCCTGCAGTCCATTCCCTTTTTAATACAAGACAGTACTCTGCTCGCTTTGTTTACCGTAGCCTGGCATTGCAAGCTATTGTTCAATCTGTGGTCTACAATGATCCCCAAATCTTTTTCCATTTCTGACTTCCCTAGTGAAGTTCCCATTAATGTGTATTCCTCCTGCCTATTTTTAACCCCTTAGTGCATTACTTTGCATTTATCAACATTAAACCTCATCTGCCATATAGATGCCCTCTCCCCTATTATATCCAGGTCCTCCTTTAATGTTATGATGATGAAGTCTGTGTCTATTACCCTCCCGATTTTAGTATCATCAGCAAACACAGAAACATGACTATAGACGCCCTCCCCGATATCGAAAAGCACTCACCTCATAGTTCTAGCCGTCCTGCCTGTGACAATGAGACTGTCACAGGTCGGCTCAGTAGATCGGGAGGTGAGCGAACACATACCGGCGTTCGCTCACCTCTTGATCCTGTGCTCTCTGCCGTGACAGGGAAGGGGCTGGATTCCCCCCTCCCCGCTCTGATCCGCCAGCGCTGACTGGCGGAACGGACGGGCCAGGGGGCGGGTACAGCTGGCTCTGCCTCTAGATAGGCAGAGCCACCTGTCAGTCACGCAGCTGGGCGGATCCCAGAATAATTGGCGGGATCCGCTTCAGCTGCGGCGACTCAGTAGCCTAGGGTGACGGGAGGACGCTAGTTTGTGTACTCCCGTTACCCTGAGGAGAACTATGGTGAAAAGCCTTAACCCCATAGTTCTCCTTTAATAAACAGATTAAACAGTGCGGGGCCTAGCACATGACAATGGTATTGTGTACGTCTCTCAAGGGTCAATTAACAAACATAACAAACCCTCCAACTCAATTCCCCTTTAGATTAATTGACACAACACTGGTATTGGATTTTTAGTGGCCACAGCAGCTATGTTATTAAGTACAAAGCCAGATAACAAATCGTAACTGACAACGGGAATTAAGGTCCTTGAAGTGCATCCCAGAACAAACCAACCAGTATCTGCCCACACGGACCCCAGCCGCACCACACCGCCTCGGGGACTTTGCAGTAGAACAGCAGATACTAAGTGACTAATGACCTGACTCGTTAACCCAGGGTTGCAATACCTGAGACGGCTCCCCACTCTCAAGTAAACGCCAACTGCGTATGTTGCTCCTCAAGGACCCCAATACCCTGCACAGCTGCAGTGACAGTAGGACCAGGAAAAAATCAAATTAGACAGAAAATGCTAAATTAACAAACAAGAAGCAAAGACCACAGACAAAAAGGGCAGGAAGGTGGGAGGCTGCTTCCACGCTGCTGACTTAGTCTGGATCTGGAACGTTCTCTCCTCAGGGATCCAACCAATCAGGTAAGTGCCCCCATCTTAACCTTCCTTATCACTAGGGACAAATTAACTCTCGCAGCACCCACTTTTTTGCTTCTCCAAACCCCTGTCATGCAGGCCTTACACAGACGCCTTTGTCTTCTGTTCCAGGCCTTTCTGACCCCAGGGGCACGCCACTCTTGACCTTAGACCAATGTACACACCATTTCATCTATGCCCATAGATCTCAGCTTGTGTATTAAGCGTTTATGTGGTACCGTGTCAAATGCTTTCGAAAAATCCAGATATACCACATGCACCGGCCTCCCTCCATCCAGATTTCTACTCACCTCTTCGTAGAATGTTAGTAAGTTGGTCTGACAAGAACGGTCTTTCCGAAATCCGTGTTGATTATCATTTATTGTACCATTGTCACCAACAAAAACTTACAATTCTCTTTGTAAGCACAGAATTGATTGTGTCCTCTTCCGTACTGGGATTGAACAGGTTAATATCAATAAATAAAACAAAATGCAGGTACTTACACTGCTTGCATTTAAAAAAAAAAAAAAGCATGTGATCAAAACTTAATAAAAACAGCGCTGCATTTATTTATTTTCTTTATCTGCCTGGAGTTCAATTTTAAAGCTCAGCTGAACTAAGTGAAATATTAAGGCGGATAATGTTGAATTAATTCTGAAAATACCAATTTTCTAGCTGCATTTGGCTTTAATAATTTCCATGTCACGGACCTGCTACAAGTACGCAGACAGGAAATCCGGTATGTAATCAGAACTCCTGAAATGCATACTTGTTCCAGGTCAGTGACGGGTCATTCATTCAAAAGTCATTATACATTTTATCAAACAAAAAAAGGGAAAGGATTCGGGCCGCCTACTACTTGTAGGTTGTCCAAGGGTTAATTTCAGATATCGGGACGGACCATCGTTATCGATTTGTAAAAAATTATTTATTTAGTATAGCAAAATGGATCACAAACATAGGCCAATCTTTCTTCGTTGACCAATGAAAACAAAAATGAAGCAGCATGAACTGATCATTATTTTTCTTGCTTTGGCTGGAGCTGTTTAAATTCAAGTGTTCTACATTACCTCCGTCGGGTTTTCCTATATGTCAATCTTCTCCTTTTGGTTACAAAGTATATTTCCCTTTCCCTTTTTTTGTTTGATGTATGCTTCTGGTTAAGAATTGGATAAATCGGACCATTACTAAAGGGTAATAGGTTAGAGCTGGACCTCCAGAAGCGAACAAACCTCTCTTTCATTATACATTTTACTTGTTCCCTTTGCGGTTTGGAAATAACTTTCACAATTGTCCCAACCCATTTATATTTGTCTCAGGAACACGGACCTCAGCTGTGCGAAAATATGTCTAAGCTCTCTGCTAATAAGGTAAAAATGATGTTTATCATATAAGCATTGCACTATACATATGGCCAGATGTACCATTAGGCTCAACAGGCCTTGGATTATGAGGTTATTGCCTTTTGTGAATGGTTGAGTGGAGAGGGGGGTGGGGACATGACACCTGCAGTGGTGTATAACAGAACTGAGCTCATAAGGTTATTGCCTTTTGTGAATGGTTGAGTGGAGAGGGGGGTGGGGACATGACACCTGCAGTGGTGTATAACAGAACTGAGCTCATAAGGTTATTGCCTTTTGTGAATGGTTGAGTGGAGAGGGGGGTGGGGACATGACACCTGCAGTGGTGTATAACAGAACTGAGCTCATAAGGTTATTGCCTTTTGTGAATGGTTGAGTGGAGAGGGGGGTGGGGACATGACACCTGCAGTGGTGTATAACAGAACTGAGCTCATAAGGTTATTGCCTTTTGTGAATGGTTGAGTGGAGAGGGGGGCGGAGACATGACACCCGCAGTGGTGTATAACAGGACTGAGCTTATAAGGTTATTGCCTTAGTAGTTTTGTAGCTTGATTTTAATGCATGTTTTGCCCTTTCCATTTTTGTTTCAGGAACATGAAACTCACCCTTATGAAGGTGTCTTCAAGCGCTATGCCACTAAGGTAACAGACATGGTCAATATTTTTTATCATTTGCAATACTGTATTAGGGGAATTTATCAAAACTGAAGCAGACAAAATCTGGAGCAGCTGTGCAAGACAACCAATAAGCTTATCTCATTCATTTTCAAATCTTAACTGCACAAACCGAGGAGAGAAGCTGATAGGTTGCCATGCACAGCTGCTCCAGATTTTGTCTGCTCCAGTTTTGGTAACTTCCTCCCTCTATATAATGATGTAATCATAAGGAGGGCAGGTCTTTCAATTGCATTGAACTACTGTACTGAGGGGAAGCTGTGGATGTCATTGCTGACACCCCTACAACCTCCCCCCCTCCCTCCTGTCCGTATGCTAATGCTACGGCTGCAATGCTTTCTGAATCACTGGCTCAGATCAAGCATGATGAAGTTTAGGAGTTCTAGCTCCACTCTGACAACACTTGTTACATTCAAATATCAGAGAGTTTTACTTATAAATTGTTCACCAACCTTACAGTGATACTAAAGTCAAAAGGTTTTTAAGCTATTTCAAATGTTATTTAAATCACTTAAAATACATGCTTCTTCTTAATATTTAAAAGTTTCAGTTTCCTGCAGAATCAGCTGGTCCCCTTAGCACTGGTTCCGATATCCTGTTTTAGGATGACTCCTTTCCCTTGCGGGGCTCTATGGAGCCACCCTTGTGTGTGCTAGTAAGCTGTGTGTGTCTCCACACACAGACACAGTAAGGCAAGCCACTCCTCTGCTCGCCTTTCCCCTCTCCCTCCCTCTTTCATTCTCTGAGCTAGTAGATGAACAGTTGCTGGAGTCTGCTCTGTCCCTTGTGATCTTGTACTGGACAGGAAGTACAGGGAAGCTGAGCTGAGAGTTGGAGCTGTTTAAAAACAAGATGACTGCAAGTGCTTAGGCAAAATTTGAAAGAACTGCTTTACTGGGAAATGTGTATATGTTTGATCTAGATTTATTATTATACAGGGAGCTATAAGGAACTCCTGGGTTTTACAGAAGTGTCTGAATGAGGTCTTTATAAAAGGTGAGTCCATTTCAGGGAAATCTGATGGTGAGGCCATCACAAAGCAAAACACTTGGGGTGACCTGACTGTGATGGAAGATGTCATGCCGAGACAGAGAGAGAGAAGGGGGAAAAGAAGGGGCAAAGAGAGAGAGACTGAGGGGGAGATACATGAGAGAGAAAAAAAGAAAGGGCAAAGAGAGAGAGACAGAGGGGGAGAGAGAGGAGAGGGGGAGAGAGAAAAGAGGGGGAGAGAGAGAGAAGAGAGAGAGGAGAGAGAAGAGTGGGAGAGAGAGGAGGTGAGAGAGAGGAGAGGGGTAGACAGAAGAGGGGGAGAGAGAGGGAGAAAGGAGAGGAGGAGTGAGACAGAGGGTGGAGTGAAACGGAGGAGAGAGAGACAGGAGAGGGGGCGGAGTGAGACGGAGGAGAGAGAGACAGGAGAGAAAGAGAGAGAAGAGGGGGAGAAATAGATGGGAGAGAGAGAGAGGAGAGAGAGAAGAGGGAGAAAGAGACAGGTGAGGGAGGGTAGGGAGAGGAGAGGGGGAGAGAGAGAGAGACAGAAGAGAGAGAGAGAAGAGGGGGAGAGAGGCTGTAGAGAGAGAGAGATTGGGAGAGAGAGCAGAAGGGGAGAGAGAGAAAGGATAGAGAAAGAGAGGGAGAGAGATAAGAGAATTCGGAGAGGGAGCAAGAACAGATAAAACAGCTTCCTTATATTATGTATTTAGCTGTTTGCCTGGAGTTCAGCTTTGATGATCAACTTCCCATCAACACTTAACCTGACCTCAACCCTTATTTTAAACCTAACACTTAACCAAACCAATGAAACAAGTGCCTCACACTTATCCCCTTCCACCAGCATTTAGCATATCATCTAAAGCCTAACCACTACTGCCTGTTTGACCTGATGCTCATGGTGCCTGTGCAGAGAAGATGCTAGTGTCCATCTCCCAGCACTGAACACTACTGACCTGTGAGGGAACAGACAGAGGCAGATGTATCATTTTCCAGAAAATACTCGGTTGTGTGAATATAGGTTTCCCTTTTTGTTTTGTAGACTTTCCTTATGCAAATGGAGTCAAATTCACAATTGAGAGCAGTCGTGGATTGCTGGCATCGATGGATGTATCCTTTACGTAATCACTACACCTTCTTACCAATGCAGGAATAGGACAAGCACCCATAACATTTTACCAGCAGATTAAATGACTACATTGTCGTTTCCCTTAACTCTCTCCCCAGCATGCTGGCAGGGGTAAGCTGGAGCTGGATAACTTCTCTAGCTTGTGGAGATACCTTACACAGTTTAAGGTAAAATGAATGCATTAAAGTGTATCTAAACCCAGTCTCTTTTGCACATGGCTGGCCATTTTAATTTTTAGCCTTGCTGCAAGAAGTTTAATGCCTTCAGAACTTAATAGCTCATGATGGCTCAGTCTGAGGTTGCAACCAGACAACTACTAAGGAAGGTTGCTGTGATGTCTCTTTAGCTAACTATTAGTGCTTTTGAAATCATTTGTCATGTATTTAATATGTATAGAGTAGCGGTAGCAGCACTCCATCTAAAAAGTACTGCCTCCTTCCCGGGGCGTGGCTTGGCAATGGCCGTGTGAGCAGTGTTCCCAGTGAGCTCCCGGCCCGACTATACCACACAAAGCTAACAGCCTTCATCTCTCCGCAACTGGCACAATGAAAAAGAAGGGGAAAGGGAGGGGATCCCAGTTCACCCCCAAAACTGCCTTTAAAAGGCTCTTTGTCTCCCCGAAAATACCTGTCCTTTTCCTTGTTGGAAAAAGTTGAAAATCTTGAAATAAAGAATTTATAAAAAAAAAGTACTGCCTTGGTGCTCTAATGTAGTATCATAACAAAGGTTGAGTAGGCACACAAAGGTCTTCCACAGGAGTAAATACATCAAATCAGAAGTTTATTATGCCTGTGATCTCAGGCCTTGAGAAAGCTTGACTGTGACCTGCCAAAGCACCAATGTAATATAATACACCTATGATTTGATGTCTTCTTTACTATCTAATCTTAAGAACAACTAAAAATAATTACTTGATATATAAAGGTGTGACCAGCCCTGTTTGGGAATGAACAGAAATCATTAATAAAGTCTCTTTTTTACCATTTATAAAAGATGTAAAATACACATCGGGGGTGATGGCTGTATCATTTTTCATGTTATAAATACAGCAAATGCTAATGAGGCCTGGATTTTCTACTGAGTCATTTACACTGACTGATCCAATTATGTCTTCCAGGATATATTTGCCGACATTGATAGCAATCGCTGCGGTTACTTAAATTCAGCAGAACTTCGTAAAGCAGTGAATCGAGCAGGTGCAGTGCGGATAAGTTCCCATGTAGTTTATTTTATCATAGTAACATAGTGGGTACGATTGAATAAAGACAAGGGTCCATCCAGTTCAACCGATGTGTGTATGGGTGTATGTGATTGTTTGTCTGTATTTGTATGGCTCTAACACTGCCCATATTTTTGTATATGAAGTGAAATAAGAAACTCATCAAGATGTTTGTTCAATGTATCAACGCTAACAGCGGATACCACTCCATATGGAAGGGAAATCCACATTTTCACAACTCTCACAGTAAAAAAAACCCTATGAATTCTAAGATTAAACCCCCTTTCCTCCAACCTCCTGTTGTGTTTGCGTGTTCTAAATACAGTTTTCGGATTTTTCGGACAGTTCGTTCCGAATATTGTGGTCGCCACTGATGATTTTGAAGACTGCAAAAGGGTCCCCTTGTGATAGCCTCTTTTCTAAGGTTTAATTGCTAAAGGCGGTCTTCCTAGCTCAGGACTTTCCCTTTGATTATTTTGTAGCCCTTTGCTGAACTTCCCCCAGCTTGAGGACGTCTGTCCTGTGAGTTGGCGACCAACACTGCACCACATACTCTAGATGAGGCTGAACCAGTGATTTATGAAGTGGAAGTATTACTCTTTTATCCCTTGCTACAATCCCTCTCTTAATGCACGGCAGTATCTTGTTAGCTTTCCTGGCTGCTGCTTGGCATTGCTTACTATTGCCAAATCTGTGATCTATGAGCACCCCCCAGGTCTTTTTCCATGTCCGACTTACCTAATGTAGCACTCCCCCAAGTGTGTAGTTTGCGCACACGTTCTTTCATTTGCCATCTCGTAGCTCATGCTTCAATTTTATTAAGGTCCTGTTGAAGTGCAAGTATCTCCTGTTTGGAATTTACTGCCCTACACAGTTTTTTATCTTCGGCAAAAAACAAAATCTAACTATTTAGTCCAATCTCTATGTCGTGGGATGAATAAGATGAACAAGATCGGTCCCAGGACTGAGCCCTGGAGCACCCCACTCACAAACATTTGCCCAATTGGAAAATGATCCATTTATTACTATTCTTTGTATCTGTTTTTGCAACCAATTTTCCAACATGGTAGACCTTAGTTTATGAAGTAAACGTTTGTGGGGTACTACCGTGTTTCCCCGAAAATAAGACACTGTCTTATTTTTTTTTTTGGCTCAAAAAAACACCTTAGGTCTTATTTTCGGGGTAGGTCTTATATTCGGGGTAGGTCTTATTTTTGGGGAAACAGGGTATGTAGAATGCTTTAGCAAAGTCCAGATACACCACCTATACAGGTATTCCTCTGTGTAGATGACTTCCTTATAAAATGTTAATAGATTGGTCTGGCGGCAAGAATGGTCCTTCATGAAGCCATGGTGGTTGCTACTTATGATACCAGTTATATTCGCAAATTCCTGCATGTAGTCCCTTTCCATGCCTTTGAATATTTTGCACACTATTGATGTTAAGCTGACAGGCCTATAGTTACCCGGTGAACTTCTTTTCTCCTTTTTGTATATTGGTACCACATTCACTTTCTGCCAATCAGCCAGAACCATACCTGTCATAGTGTCCTTTAACCACTTCAAGACCAGGTGTTTAGACCCCCTTCCTGGCCAGGCCATTTTTCAGTATTCAGTGCTGCGATACTTTAACTGACGTTTATTCCGTCATGCAACGCTATACTGAAATGAATTTTATACAATTTTTTGGGGGCAGATAGAGCTTTATTTTGGTGGTATTTAATCACCACTGGGGTTTTTATTTTTTATTATAATTAGGAAAAATCTGAGCGGACGTCTAAAGATGCCCCCTCAGATCTAGAGAGCCGGAGGTACCGAAACTTGATTAAAGATCACGTTATTAAGTATTAATCACACAGGGAGTGCAGTATTAATTAACCACACAGGGATTGCATGGTTTTCAATGAGTTGGTCAACTATTGTGTAGTGTTATCAAGGTTCTTGTATGTGATTGGATGATTAAGTGAACAAAATCAACCCCTCAAGTCACTGGTTTAAAAAGACCCTGTTACCAGAATAGGCAAGGTCTAGTAAATGTATAGGTCCAGTCAGTACAATTGAAACGTACAGAAGCACTCTTTTTTTTCTGTAATTTATGGATCCGAATAGGTGTTGTCAGCTCTGGTAATCAGGCAGAGAATCAACACTTCCTGGAGTGTTGGACCCAATGTCAATGTTCTGTTGCATAGACTGATGACGCAGGGGCTGGGGTAGGGGGCACCATGTCAGAGGATCGGAATCCCCAGGAAGTGTTCTCTGCCTGGCTATCATTGCCGATAACACTTTTTAGGCTGAAGCACGGTCCATCTCTGGGTTCCTTCCCTTCAGAAGCGCCTCCCCCTGCTGAGGAATTCCACCACCCCATGCATTTTTAGCTTTTCTACAATAAACCTTTTTCAGATATCTTAAGTCCCATCACATGATGTGCTTGGTCCTCCTCTTCAGTTTTTCTCTGGTAATGGGTAGTCATTTATGTCACAGAGAGCAGCTCTGAAATGATGTCTTCACCACGCTCTGCTTCATTAGACTGTGAGTATAGGACACCATGGTGACACCTCCTCAGGAGGAAAGTTCTATGACACCCTGCACTCAGTGTGTCTTCAGTTTTCCCAGTTTAATGACTTGCGTATCATTCATTTCAGAGGACTAAGGACATCAAGTGGCAAAAAGGAATTACTGCAGGGGACAGCTTCAGAGATGATGTGAATATTGCAGTCAGAGCTTTGTTTAAGTATCATGCTAATTTATGGATTGGACCTATGTATTTACTAGATTATTATTGGGGCGACAGGATAAGATGCAATAAGATATTAACTACACAGGGATTGCATGGTTTTCAATGTTTTCAACAATTATGTGGTGTTGCAAAGCAGGAATTAGAACCTGCATGTTAATGAGCAAACATGGCTGCCCATATGTACAGTATATCTATAATTACTAACCATACATTGAAAAAGATATTTAAATTATTAAGACACTAATACCATATTTGCATAAAGTTGAAATATTTTGCAAATTTATCAATAAATAAGTAATAAGTCTGTATATTGCCTTCAACCCATATCATGCAGACATTATTGAAGTCAAATCTTGAAATTATATATTGTATATTATTTATCATCTAGGACTAAACGTGAGCAAAGACTTGTTTAATCTCATAATTGCTCGCTATGGAGACTCTGAAGATAAACTAAACTTTGTAGACTATCTGCTGTGTATGGCGAGACTGAAAGCAGCTGCAAGTAAGTTGTGCTGAAGAATGTACTCAACATATTTAATACATATTCTTAAATGTTATAGCATTTTGACATAAGAGTGCAACACATTCATCACTTTCTAACTGAGCAATGAAGGGACAATGATTTTCATCCCAGTCTCTTGCATGCCTTCCAACTGCTTATGCTTGGGCTTTGGGCATTGGGCTTACTGACCTGGGAAGTCAGGATGTGTATTTAAAGGATCAGTGTACCCAAAAGTGATATTTTAGCAACAGGTGGAGCCTGGGGGCCGGATTTTTTTATGTCTAGGATAGGGATGTCCAGATACCAGTTCAGATACCAGTGCAGATACCTGGCATTTTAACGAGAACTACCAGGGTTGCAGTGGTTGCAGCTGGGACCTGGCTCTGGTGTTCCACCACTGTCCTGAAATCATTTGTCTGTATTGTTTTAGAAAAACTGTCACATGACGATAAACAAAAATGTATCAGTACTTGTATCTGTGAGTACTTGGACAAGTATCAGTACTTGTACTTGAAAAAAATGGTATCGGTGCATCCCTAATATATATTTATGGGGGAAAAAAATCATACATTAAAACAGAGATGTACAAATCCCGGGAGCTCTGTATGCTCCTTAAATATGACAGCTGCCTCCTAACTTTTGAGTTTTTCTCTAGTCTAGTCTTGGAGCTGGAAAAGTATCTGTACTTGTACCGAGTACGGTACTTGGTATCTGAACATCCCTACTCTAGGATACTCCAACAGCTAGATCTCTCTGCCATAATTTCCAATTCTGTACACCTGGGACTTATGGTATTTCAGCCCACCTTTGTGCATTCCAGTTCCTCCTATTACATTCTCCATTATATAAATATAGCCCTATTGTTATCACTGATACACATGGCTACTAGTATTTCTACACTTGTCCAGTAACTAGAGACTAAGCCTCTACTAAATTGGGATAATGGAACTAATCTGTACAAAACTCTGTGCCAGTGCATCCACTCAGTTGGGAAACTCAATTGTTAAACCTCGTCTGCAGAAATCATACTTACACTGTGAAGTTTTTAATTAAGGCAGTCAAGTCCTTGTCCTTTCTTAAAGCATAATTCTGGTCCCAGTGCCCACCAAAAACCCTGTTGTTAGCTGGTGTCTGAGCCCAGAGAGAGTGGGGATGTCACATGATGGTGCCTCTGATGGTGGATTATCTGGCACTTGCACAATCTTAATTCACCCTAAATGCAAGTCCACCCTCAAAGGAGCATCACATTATCTCCGCTTAACTCTCTATGAGCAGTATAGAGCATCAGATATTTCCACTGGTCTCTATTTTATCCAGAGCTAACCTGATCAATAGCACTGCAGCAGTATTGCCCATGAGGGTCCCATTGTGATTATTTTCTCTTCAGACATTGCTACATGGCTCTACGTTGCGGGATCCTGCAGTAGAGCAGTTGCTGGGGAATTTTTCAGTTACAACAATTTATAAATTAATCGCAGTCACAATTTTAGATAATGCAATCAGTATCATTAGGAATACACATTGGCTTACAAACCTCTGTTGTTCCCCCTGAACATTTGCAGAAACCTTCATGAAGCTATCGGACGATGGAAACGAAGTTTGCATTAATCAGGAGAAGGTATGTGCTAAGTGTTGCTGTGTAGTTATTCGAGCACAGCAAAGAATAATGTGCAAAATATGATGTCATCCAAAGACCAAACCAATGTGGCTGCAACAGGCCAATGCAAATACATTCCTCAATGTCTGTGCTCTTTTTGGGTTAACAGTGCAATTTCCAAAATGTTTCCACAGATTTGGCAGAAGGGAAAACAATTATTTTATGGCATTTCCATGTCATAACAATTAACAGAATTTAAACTGCGCTCTCACCCAGGGACGCTGCCAGCAAATGCAGTTCCCAAAGTGTTATTCACATTAAACACAAACAAAATAGACAAGCTAGCGCTTCCCAAACTTTCACATAGTTGGTAGAATCAGAATTCAGGCTATGAGTTATGTTAGCACAAATGCACATCCATCTGGACATTGTAAACAGAGGGGATCTCTTACCACTTACTGCAATAGAACCTGACATAAACAAATTGCATCTGTTCACCAAGCTCAAGGGTCACATTAATCAACTACTGTATAATGTTAGGGGCAGAGGAGAATTGAGCTGGGGGGGAACAAGGGCATTCATTCCCCCGCCCACCACTACCCACACCACCACCGCTACCACCACCTTCCTCACCAGGCCAGTACAAACAATACATGTTCTGCTGATGACCCTGAGTGGAGACACTCCCCCATTCAGACCTCAGTCAAAGGGAAACCCATGGTCAGTGGAAGCTGCTGGGATTTTTTAGCTATCTACTCCCTGTTAAGACCTGCAATCACAGGGCTTTGCAGAGGAAAGGTCAGAAGGGGGGTAATGGACCAAAGGGAGATGGGAAAGACTGCTCCAAAGTGTTGTTAGTAGGCAGCTTTGACCCTCTGATTGCAACTGAAACCTGGTTGTCAGAGGTTGAAGTGGCTATAATATTGTTGGGACTGTCATCACTTGGACTGGCAGCAAATTTAGCATTGATAAGAGCTGACCAAATTATTGGAATAATGTCTTAAAACTAACCAATACACATCAAGGTGGTTGATATTGTGTGACCTACTGCTAGCAGGTGGACAATTCTTTTGCACGCTAATAATCGACTTTAGTGTGACCCATTCAGCTCAACATTACAAGCAGTTGGGTGATAGCATCATTCACGAATCCTGTACATGAAAAAAAATACTGTTGATTGTATTGGGAGGATCCAGCTATATCTGTAGTCCGAAAGGCTGATGACTTTCTGGCAAAAAATACCAACCTTATTGTTGGTTCCATTAATAAAATTGTTAACAAGCTTTTTGATTTAGAATGTTATTTAAAATGTTCTATAAAGATTTTAGTCTGTAACAGGTATTAAATTATCTAAATATTATCCCTGTGGGGTCATGGCCCCTCAAGCCATGACAAACTCTGCAGTTAGATGCATCAAAGTAACCCTTCCCCAAGCAACCAAATGCTCTAATTAGGAGCAAGCAGTCGCCTTCACCTTTGGTAATGCTGAAGCTCGCCTTCAAATAAAAACAGCAACTGAACGTGACTTAATATTGTGGATGCCTGTTGGTCATTTTAATCTTGGCTCTAGCATTTTACACTATTTCCTTTACTTCCAGTGGATGGAACTAATGGTGTGAAGATAACCAACCGGCTGCATCCATCTGTCGCAAGGAATCTCAAACAAAACTAAGACTGGCCTGTTTACATAAATCTTGATGTTTCAAGCAGGAGAAGATAATAACAGCCAAGATTGTTGGCCTCATGAAAAGGAACGCTGGGTCCACAGTGATCGTGTTATAATTTTATAATGATTTGGGTTTATTGGATGGTTTTGTTGGATATGGTTGGGAAGCGCAATATAATGTTGTGTTGTGTTGTGGTGGGAGGTTAGTATTCTATTGAGTCATCAAACCTTCCACTCCATTTAAACTGTTTGCCTTTTTGGTGGCGTTATCTTGTTACCACTAGTATATCTTGTTCCCATAGCTTGCTTAAGCAGCCAAATACCCTTTTATTGCTTACAAGAAAAGTATACTGTATCTTCATTGAGTTCAGACCGAACCCAAGCTTCTCCGAACCCGGCAGGAGTTGTCAGTGCCGACTGAATCATCTGCGGCTTGAATTTCTGACCCGCAGATGGACATAACTAAAGGGGTGGGATGCTGGTGACATCATTGACTTTATATAGCCACATGGTCATATTAAGGGATTAAGGCATAAGTTCAGCTTTTGCAAAAATAAAACGGACACCGTATGAGGTGATTTAATGCAGTTTGAAGTCCAGCCATTCTTCCCCCATCTCCCCGAACTGAAACTCCATACCTCAGTACGAGCTCTGCCTGGGAGAGAATGTGAAGAAGCCTGAGCTCTACAGCCCTGATCAAGTGATCACTATTGCAATGCCAATAATGTCATCAGCATCCTACCCCTTTGTGAAGCCAAGACCGCTTACTTCTAGGTTTGGATGAGCTCAGGTTCAGTAATCTTCAGTAGGAACACATTTTGAATTATTATTGTAAAAGTAATCTAAAGGAAGTTTACAGCATTTCATGTACAGACTTGTAAATACTCCATCTAGTAGTCATCTTTATAGTCATCTTTATAACAGTGATCGCTAAAGGAAAACACTGCCGAAATAAGCTCAGGTATCATTATAGAGTCTCTGTTTTCAATTTGGTCAGGCCTCACCCACAGACTTTCATTGAGAAAGAAGCATTGAAGCACCTGTTCTGTACAGCACAACCTAGGAAAAGCAGAACCTGTATACAGAATGAGCAGAAATGGCTGCCCCCATGTACATACAATATATATTTAGACTATGGGGTATATTATGTACCATAAAATGTGTTTAATACTTTACAACTCAAGATTATTTGTGCTAATCTGATTACATTGAAATATATCACAAACATTAAAAAGTTAGTTTTATAGTTTCTTTTAAAAGAGAGGCATGGATTTAGGCTCTTGCTGTCTTTAACTCAGTATAACTCAATGGACTGGACTTAAAAAGGCCAGAAAAAAATATTGGTTTAACATGGTATAATATTATTAGTTATACCTCAATAAAATTGTGACCATGGTCCTTTTCCTTGATTGGTCTATTTGTCATTTTTATATAAAGCCTGTAACCAACTCCATCCCCCCGAATGTGTTCAAATTCAACATGAATCATTATTATAAATGTGTATACAGGATTTATGTAGCACCAACAATTTGTGCAGTTACAATATGAAGAGAGACCGTACATTTACAATACAATTCAATACAGGGGGGTTAGGATCGGGCCCTGCTCGTGAGAGCTTACAATCTAGCAGGAGGGGAAAGTGCCACAAAAGGTATGAGCTGACGGAACAAGTGTAAGTACAATTATGTGGAGGTGGGATTGGCTTCCCTGAATATATGAGTTTTCAAGGATTACCTAAAGGTGGACAGAGCAGAAAACAAGCGGACAGATTGAGGTATGGAGTTCCAGAAGATAGGAGTGGCACTCAGGAGCAGCTTTTGTCAACCTCTCTACAGTCATTAAAAGTATGCAAAATCTCGAGGCACCCCAGTCTAAAATGTGAACAATGTAAATGGCGTCCAAAATCCCTCCCACACCTTTATCCTACATAGTGGTCATAGAAAAACACAAAAAATGGGGTTCCCCTACTTCACATTAGAGCCCCCTTCAAATCAGCAGCCCCCATTACATCAGGAGCCTCCTCTACATAAGCAGCCCCCTTTCACACTAGAGACCCCTCCATTCACATGAGAGTACCCCTCTTTCACATCAGAGTCTTCCCTACACACCACAAGCCCCCTGTCAGATCAGGAGCCCTCTTTACGTCAGAATCGCCCCTTCCATCCCCTGTGGCGTCGTGCCTGCACAATGGAAATGCACGACACTGTGCAAAAATTTCAAGGCAGCACAGGGAAAGCTAGAGGGCACCCCTTGAAAGGCTGGTTTAGAGAGGTCCTGGAGGCAAGCATTGAAGGAGGTGATGAGGGAGAATGAATTGAGAAAATTGCTACAGCACTCTAGTTT